ACGCGCTGTTTTCAGTCTATTTTATTCTATCCCTTGGGGAAGTACAGAATGAATAAAAGACTACAGTGCTCAGTGGCCACTCAGTGGCTCAGTGCTCGTCTGTAATGATAATATTCAAATACTACTAAACACCTACATAGCTTTCTGGCTTTTCAATTTCGAAGCTACCAGTCCTCGCTTAGAGTTGGTAGCACAGTTAAGGATCGACTCGGGTATACGGTTACGGATGTTTATGATTTCTCTCGATATCGATATATCGTCATAAAATCATCGATGCGTAAAGATCGATGTTCTACGTCCGATGCATCGATGTTTTCGATACATCAATGTATCGTCTATCGTCGCCATCCCTATATTGCATCCCCACCAGTCACCAGTCAAAAATCTTAACCACCAATATTTTATCACTATTGATAATTCTTTTTAGCTCTTATTTTTCAGTAATTACTAATAATTTTAGGTCTATGTCTACAGTAATTACATTAGGCACCTCGGAGATGTAGGGATTAACATGTTTTACACATATCGGTGTCTTAGGATGGGGACGACCATACTGTTTTGACTGCTTTGAAGAAATTCATTAACCCATGATTACTATTATGATGTAAAGAGAGATGTGGAATTGTTGGAATACATTTTATATTCTATTTTCTTGCAAATCCGCACAATTCAACAGGTATGTGTAGCTATAATGATCACATATACACACAGTATATTGAACTTAACAAATTTCGAGATTGCCATGAATTAACAAACGACCAAACCTACTGCCAAATTTAACAGCTAGAAAATCGACCTATTATTTCTCGCATTCCCATTCGCTGAGGGGATAACTGATAGTCAAATGTACACCTATAACATAAATCAAGATACATGAAAGTTGTCCTGTTTTCTCTGTACAAAAGCATCATGTTGGAATCAAAAAGTGGTCTTGTTTATAATACAGTCGAATTTTCACGATTTTATTCAATATTCAACATATTCTGAGACCTTTGACAGCTTCCGTCGAATTGCATTTCGATAAGGAATTTTCCTATTGGTCCATAATATTAATGTTGGTGAAATAGGCCCTAAATCTAACTGATCTAGCATTTAGTTTTCTAGGCCGACCACTTCTCTTAGATACTTCCAAGATACCTTTTTGTTTATATTTGTTCAATATTGCCCAAACTGCTTTACGCTTCAGCTTCAAAGTTTTGGCAATGTCGACTTGACGTTGACCATCTTTGTATAACTCAATGATCTTAGTTTTCACATCGAAAGAAGTTTCTGGACCACGCCGCATGGTGTTAAAATCACTCAACTTATTCCACAATACTTGATGAACACAAACTAATCCTCTTCCGACACGAAACTGTACGAAACTAATGTTGAAAATAATTTGTCTACAAATTTTTGTCCCCACTTGTATTGTGTTCATCGCAGATAATGTAAAAACAAGGAATCTATTTTTTCTACTAATAACTCATTTGTTTATCGAACAGTGAAGTATGAATTCGTTTTCTAAAGGTATTTAGGTAAATATTCATATTTGTCTATATACTTTTGTCCATTACTGTATATCTAATATAATTAATGTTACAGTATTTCACCATTTAAGGTCCAGTTTTGAAATTGCTCACCATATGTTGAACTGTAAATCCCTGAAGATGGTCCAAATCGATTAAAATTCAATCAATGTATTTGTATCCGAATGTTTACAGCTTTACAAGAAGCATAAATATCAACATAATGGTTTTTCGGATGTGTGTAAATGAGCTTCGGAAAATACGATTACATTGTTACACAAACTTTTATTGTTATGTAAAACAAGCTACGTTCGTATGGACGAGACGTAGAGCTTTCATTACAGCGCAAGGAATTGTTAAGCACACCAACTGGCTCATTAAAAACACGAGATACGTGGGATAAACAGAATCAACGAAAAAAGATGGACTTCCTCCCACGATAGACGAAAACGGTAAACATTCTCACGTAGGGGCTCAAAACATGTTATCGTCGAAGAGCATTAAAAAAAGACGACAAGGTGATGAGATATTAAAAAGCGCATAATGCACCGATGGAAGGTGTGTCACAGAGGCGTAGTAAAAAATTATTCTTATTGGGCAGAAAAGCAAATGCAGATGTACCATCCATTGAACGTATCAATTTAAATTCTGAATTTTTCCGATTTGTTTTTACAAAAACAAAACAAGAATCAAAAAACGTAGTTTGTGGATGTGACATATTTTTGCCCCACTCCCCACAAATAAGCCAGGGAAGTATTACGAGGGATGTCTTTTAAGTTTTGCATATGGAAATAAAACAACACGGTAGGTAGTTTTAAATGACTTTATTGTTTTTCGAAGTATTCTCCACGAAGATTAATACACATCTGCATGCGCTCGAACCAATTTTCGAAGCACTTATTCCACTCGTTTGCTGGCAGATCCAAAACGGCATCTTTGAATGCGTCAACTGCTTCTTCTGGTGACTGGAACCTTTGACCACGCAGTCTGTTTTTAATTTTCGGGAAAGCAAAGAAATCGTTAGGACTTGGATCGGGACTATATGGAGGATGGTCCAATAATTCCACGTTTTCTTCCGTTAAGTACTGCCTTGTTTTTTGGGCTGTATGCGAGCTTGCATTGTCTTGGTGGAGGATGACTCTTCTTTCGGGGTTGCTTTTTCGAAGCTCGATGATGACTTTTGGCAAACAAACGGTAGTATACCAAATCGGACTAACAGTTCTTTGCTCATTAAGAGGAATTATTGCATAATGACCCGCTTTTGACACAAATGTCGCGACCATCTTTTTCGAAACACTTCGAGAACGGATGACTTTTGTTGGCTTTTCTTCACCTTGGAACACCCAAACAGCCGACTGTCGTTTATTTTCTGGTTCATAACAGTAAATAAACGGTCAAGCGTTTTTTGACACCAATTAACCCTGGCTGCTTCCTGCTCTTCTGTCAACAGGTGGGTTATCCAACGAGAAACTAATTTTCTTACTCCTAATTCTTCTGTACTTTATTCTTGAGCTTAGGTTCTGCTACGTTATGCATAAAAAGCAAAACTATTTCTCCCAACCTTCGTTTTTGTAGGCTTTTCGGCTCCTCAATGGTTTTTCTGTAGTGAACAAATTTTATTTTGGCTAGAGTCAATAATTATGAAGAACCTCTGCTTTTGCACATTTTTGTTTTCCGGTCACCTTAGGCAGACATATACTAAGTGACATATAAATCCGAACACCTAGTTTAAATGGTTTTATTTTAATAAAATTTTGTATAAGTACTTAATGAAGCATAATAAGTAAATGATAAAAATTTCTAAATGATTGCACTGCTTTAAAGCCCTTTGACCTTTAATAATGTGTGGATGCACCCTGATGTGCTACGCATTCTCCAACGCGCCTAGGAATGCTTCTGATCAGGTGGTCAATGTCCTCCTGTGGCCATGGTAACAATGTGACATCATTACGTTGAAAGAAGTCTATTGTGACTCTTGTAACATGTGGTCGGGCATTATCTTGTTGGAAAGTTGGATCTGCCAGGGTGTCAAGATAGGGTAAAAGATGGGGTTCTAGAACTTCGTGGATATAACGCTGCGCGTTCATGTTACCGCTGATGAAGATTAGAGGTGACCTGGAACCATAAGCTATAGCACCCCAAACCATAACTCCAACAGTGTGATAAACGTGTCTTTCAACAAAAAACTGTGGATTCCTCCTTCCACTACGTCGCCTTCTAACCCTGGCACGACAATCGTGCATGCCTAAACAAAATCGAGACTCGTCACTAAAGACAATACTGTTCCATTCCTGATCCCAGAGTGACCGTTGTCTGCACCACTCAAGGCGATTACGTCGGTGTTCTCAAGTTAAAGGGAGGACCCAGTGTGGCCGGTATGAAAACAAGCCAAAACTTCTCATTCGTCGGTAAATACTTCGCATGCCAATAGGTCTTCCGTTTCTGCAAACCATTCATTTGCAATGAACCTGGTAGTGGAGAAACGGTCCCTTAAGGCCAATAATCTTAGGCGGCGATCTTCACGGTCTGTTGTTCTACGGCGGCGTCCAGTGCCCCTTGCTCTTTGCGTACGGCCTTCTCGAAGCCATGCCTGACAACAACTAACCACAGTGTCTACACTTCTTTGCACTCTAACTGCAATTGCCCGAAAAGAAGGTCCAGCTTCTCGAAGTCCCACTATACGGCCCCTATCAAACTCACTAAGTTGACGAAATCGTACAGGTCTCCGTACTCTAGGCATCGTAACCGATCGAAAAGGATGTCAAGAAACAAAATCCGCCAACGTTGATTCTTTACTGCGGCTGAAATATTCATTTTTAGAGCGTTAGTGAATTAAAAAAAAGCAGTATAAAAACCGGAATGTCCAACTGATAAGGCTGAACATTTTTTCACTTGTTATTTACAGTAAGATAAATACATTCACCAACTTTTATTAAAATAAAACCATTTAAACTGGGTGTTCGGATTTATATGTCACTTAGTATATTTCTCGTGGAAATAAATAATAAAAAAAACACTGTATTTTTCTGATTGATTTTTTTCTCCAGTCTAATATTTTTTGTCTTGATTGTAATATAACCGCTATCTAACGTCCTAAGGTGTATTTGGAATATTTAATAAATTAGGCGCTCTGTCAAGACTAAATTTATTTTATACAAATCAGATAATTAAGTTCCAATAATTACTACATCCCAAAACCATCTCAACTCTGCGAGGTTATCTAAGAAATCTTAATTATTCTCATTAATTACCATATACATCTTATCATACAAAGCGCCTGCCTATTAAATATTTATTACCCACTCCCACTTTGGTCTCTAGTGACACATAAATTTAAAAACGCCTTTAAGCCCTTAACTGAATTTGTAGCTTCCGAAAGATAAGCATCTAGCTCTACCGAGAAATCTCATCTAACCCTTATCTAGCAGATAAATCTTCCTAAACAGTTCTTTTCGATAACTTTAAACACGTAACAGGTCTATTAATCCTTACCTGAAGCCTGGAGCCATCTTTTAATTTACTATTCATAGTGTAACAGCTTTTTCTCAGCTCCACGTCGGGGAGCAATACAGGCCATAAATATCTTTAGAAAAATTGCCCTTGCCGGGCGTCTTTTTTTTTAAGTGCAGGGTGAGCGCGTGAACGAGCTTGTAGACCACCCAGACTAGCGCTTATTTGACACGATAGTTATTTCGTTTGAGCGAACACATAACGCCTACTTTGTTTTGTTCTTTGCAATGTTTATTGTTTTCCAGATGGGTTAGTGGAGGAAGGCAGAAACTTTATTGGCTGTGGTTCAATCATTTTATCAGTGCTCAAAACCGACTAAGTTTTCTCAAAGTTTCGTAAGAACTTTAACAGATTGAGAAGCGTTCACTTTGGTATTTTGTATCCATACGGCATCCACCGTCATAGCGTGAAAAAATGGCGTCAAGTAGGTCGCCTCTTCATTTCCCGTAAAAGCATAATAAACGAAGTTTGAGAGACTTTTATTTTCATAGTTTTCCCCGAGCTCCTCTGTCATTGGATCGATTTTCAAAACCTATTTAATTTGTCTACCTGGGCATAGTGGTAACCCTTGTGTCAAAATTTCGTCAAAATCCGACCGGCAGGGTTATTAAGTAAAAAACCTACAGGGTTTGTCCGAAAAGTAATAGGACCGAGTCGATTTAAAAAAATCTGTTGAGCTAATCGTTAAAATTTTTTAAGATCTTTCAAAATAGGCTCCTTCTGCGTTGATGCAGCGCTGCCAGCGCGATTTCCAAGCATTGAAGGCGTCACGGAAGGCATTCTCCGGAATAGCCTTGAGAGCTGCGGTGCATGCTGCTTGGATCCCCTCTGTCGTCTCAAAATGCGGAAGCGTTGGTATACCGGCCTTGTCAGGTAGCTGTTCACAAGGAAGGCGGAGTGAGCCGGGGCGTTGTCGTGGTTCAACTTCCAGTCGGCTGCGATGTCTTGTCGGACTCGACTGACCCTTCGTTTGAGTCTCCTGAGCACTTCCACGTAAAACTTGGCGTTGACGGTTTGTCCAGGAGGAACAAATTCATGGTGGACGATGCCTTTGATGTCAAAAAAGACAATGAGCATCGTTTTCACTTTGGATTTGCTCATTCTTCCCTTTTTTGGGCGAGGAGACGCCGTCGTGTGCCACTCGGAAGATTGCCTCTTTGTTTCGGGATCATACTCAAAGATCCACGACTCGTCACCTGTGATTACGTTATTCAAAAATTGGGGGGCACTTTCATACATGTTCAAATTTTCTTGGCACACTTCCACTCGCCGAAATTTCTGGTCATCAGTGAGCACTTTCGGGACAATCTTCGCGCACACCTTGCGCATGTTCAAATGCTGTATCACAATGTCATGAACCACAGATTTTGGTAAATTTAACATCTGGGCAATTGAACGAATACTTAGTCGACGGTCTGAGTTCAAAACTTTGCGCACACGAGTCACATTATCGGTGTTTGTCCAAGGTCTTCCAGCACGGTCTTCATCAGCGACCTCTTCCCGGCCCTCCAAAAAGGCCTGGTACCACCGAAACACACCACTTCTTGCTAAAGCAACACCTGGGTAAGCCTGCTTGATCATATCAAACGTCTCTGTCGCAGATTTACCGAGTTTCACACAGAATTTAATCGCGTACCTTTGCTCTAACGAACGCTGCATTTTCGGCTTGCACCACTCACAGAAACACGTCGCGCGAAAATGCCTGTCCTGACTCTCCAAGTGCTCGGAGACAACTGACCAGCCGCTCATTCGTTAGCTAGGCATGCCCTCTACCGAATCCAGTCGGTGCGCGCTCGCTCCAAAGTACGGTCATGGCGGATGGAAATGAGTTCTATTACTTTCCGGACAAACCCTGTATATAATGTCAAAAAAACGACAAAATGTCCACTTGTTGACTAGATAGCTGATAGTGTGCTAATAGTAAATACCGCGCCTGTTACAATTGAGCTTCAAGTAAACGACAGCTAGATCCTAGTTAACATCTTTTAAGAAAATCCAGATGTTGTCTTAAAAACCGGCATAATGTCACTTTTCAAGCTTCGTAATACTCCTGCGGTATATATATATATATATGGCGAGTTTCTGCAACCTAAGGTCACTTCTCGCAACCCATACGCCATCGTATCCTATCGTTCCAGTCTCCTTCGTGTAGTCCTCTACTTTCCATTGCGGTATGGATGTTTGAAATCCATTTCCTTCGTGGTCTTCCTGGTTTATTTCTTTGTGCTGGTGTCCATTTCCAAACCCTTAATGGTATCCTTTCTTCGTTCATTCGTTGCAGGTGTCCATACCATTTTAACTGCCTCTCTGTTATATCGTCCATTATTGTAATTTTCGACTTCCATTCTTTCTCTGATGGTCTCATTTCTAACATGGTCAAGTAAAGTTAAACCGGAACATCTTCTCCAGTACATCATTTCGGTTGAGAGAAGCTTTTGTGACATATTTTTATCTACAACCCACGCTGTTGTTAGGTTCTTACTCCACAAGATCGGATGTAGTGCTTTAATCATATTTTTTCCTTTTCCTATTTTCCTTAGTATGTCTTTATTATCCTTTCCGCTTTCATCTATTGTAACTCCTAGGTACTGGTACTGTCCACACGTTTTCTATTTTTCCGATTTTTGTTTCGATGTCTTGTCCTGTGCCTCCTATAGTCATGTATTGTGTCTTTTGTATATTTATCTCCAAACTCCATTTAGTGAATTCTTCTATAAGTTTGTTTATCATGTAAGTCATGTCTTGCTGGTCTTCTGCAAAGACTACCTGATAATCTGCAAAGAGGATTGTATACAAGTGAAAGTCCTCTAACCATATCCCCATGGGGCTGCACTTTCTTATCCACTGTTTTAAAGCGCTGCAGAGATAAATTTTAAACAGGGTTGGAGAGAGGCAGGAGCCCTGCTTAACACCTTTTGTTTGTGGGAAAGCCTCAGAAATTTGATTTCCGACTTTAACGACCACTTGATTTTCTCTATACATTGCTTTTACGGCGTTTATGTATTTGCTATTTATGCCTGCTTCTTTCATTGCGATCCATAATTTCTGCAAAGGGACGGAGTCGAATGCCTTGCGGAGATCTATAAAAGTAGCGTGTAGCTCCATTCCTCTTGCTAATCTCTTTTCTGTCAGTTGTTTTATTGTAAATATGTTGTCGACACAGGATCGCCCAGGTCGAAATCCACTTTGTTCTTCAATTTCCGTGGCTTCGTCTTCTATTCGGGCTGTTTGGACTCTTTCGTACAGCTTTCCGATGGACGATGTAATACTAATACCCCGATAATTACTACAGTCACTCCTGTTTAACTTTTTATAAATGGAATTTATGTAAGGGCTCCTCCAATCTCTGGGAATCGTTTCCCCTTCCAGGCACTTGTTAAAAATTACAGAAAGTAGCTCGTGCGTTCTTGTGGTGGCGTGTTTAATTAACTCGATAGGCAAATCCCCCGGTCCCGGAGCTTTATTATTTTTCATTTTTTGTAATGCTATTTTTATTTCTTCTAATTGAATGGTATCTACTCTGTTAACTCCCGTTTGATCTATATCTAGTTGCGTGTCTAAATACTCTCCACGTTGTTCTGCCAGTAGATTATTGTAGTAGTCTTTCCACTGTTCTATTTTTATGGGATTTATTTTTCTTCTTTCATTCGTGTTTGTTTTAAGACCATTTATAGTTCGCCAAGCTTCTCTAGACCTAGATCCTCCTACCATTGAGCTAATTTCAGCACATTTGGTTTCCCATGTTTTGTTTTTTATTTTTTTATTTTTTTAATTTCTTTTTTTACTATATATTTAAAACGATTATAGCTTTTTCGATCTTCATCGTCTTTTGTAGTTAACCATTTAAGATATAAGTTTTTCTTTTCTTCTACCAGTTGGGTTAAATCGTCCGTCCACCAAGAATTTTTGTGTTCCGTTCTATCTTTAACACCAAGGGCTTCTAGTGCAGTTTTTGTGCTAAACGTAGTTTGTAAAGGAAACTGGTGGATTCATCCCTTAAGCTGTCTATGTTATATCGCTTTGTGGGTTTTCCATTGTTATTTTGTTCTTGATATATGAGATGTTTATTGTAAATAATTTCAATGGGTGCTTTTACTAGCAGGTGATCTGAACCGCACTCAGCTCCTCTCCAAACTTTTACATCATAGGGTATTATGGAAGTGTCCTGTTTAATCACGACATAGTCAATAATTGATTTCAAGTTTTTTGTTTTTTGAGTCCAAGTATATTTGTGTATGTCTTTGTGTTGGAAAAATCCGTTTAAGATTCTTAACGAGTGTTGTTCACAAAGCTCTATCCATCTGGTTCCGTTTTCATTGACTACTTCCTCTCCGTGTTGTCCAATTATTTTACTGTCAAGAGCTTTGCCCACTCTTCCGTTCAGGTCACCTATCAAGACTATTTCTTGTCTATTTTTCGTCTTATCTAATTCCTCAGAGAGTTTGTCAAAAAATTTGTCTTTTGTGTTTGTATCTGAGTCGTCTGTGGGCACGTAGATACCGAATATTTTAATTTCTCTTCCTTTTATTTTCATGTCAACCGTTATGATCCTTTCGTCAACTGGGTTCCAGTCCATTATGAACTTCTCCATGACCTTTTTTATTGCAATAGCTACACCAGCTTTGGCCCGTTTCGATTTTTCTACTCCACTCCAAAAGCATATGTACTCATCTTTGTAGCTGTTTCCTTGTCCTTTCTTCTTTGTTTCGCTGAGTACTGCTATGTCGATGTCGTATGTGTGGAGTTCTCTAAATACTTGATCATCTTTAGTGTTTAGTCCTTGTATATTCCAGCATCCAATATTCGTTAACCGTTTTCTTTGCTTTTGTCGTTTTCCGTGTAATCCGTCCGAATTCCGAGGCTGCTGTATGGGTTTTTTAGCAACGCTTTTTTTTCCACAGGGCGGGGAGCCAACCCGCCGCTACAACCCTCCTCCTTTATCCGGGCTTGGGACCGGCACTGGCAGTCACTGAGCTACTCAATCCACCCAGCATCTACCAGAGGCGGTACTTTTCCAG